TAGGCAGGGCCAGGTGGCAAGAGGAAGAGTGAGTCATTCATTCATTCATTCATTCATTCATTCATTCATTCATTCATTCATATGTATTTGTTAAGTCCCTGTGTACTAGGCACTGCTGTTGGGGTTGGGAAATCAGGAGTGAATACAAGAGAGAAATGGATATACGAAAGACCATGTCAATGCACTGGGAGACATGTTCTGCAGAAGGAAGGGTAGAGACAGTGGTGCCTGCTCTGAGATGCCACAGTATAGGTGTTCAGAGATGGGAAAGGGACATCAGGTAGGGTCCCAAGGAAACCAGAAGTCAGTACGTAACTATACAAATGCTAGAGGGAGTTAGAGGTCAGCTTACAGAGAGCTCTAAGAACAGGTGGGTCTACACAGACACAAGAGCGAATGTGTGGAGATGACATGGTGAGGGAGCCGAGGAGGGACTCGGCCACTCTTGTATCCATGTGACCAGAACATTCAAAGCCTTTACGGTTTGTCGAGAGCATCTACAAAGTTATCCCAAAACCACCACAAGGAGCTAGATGCCGCTCTTCATTCCCTCACATGGGAGATGAAGCAGACTGAATTCAGTATCACATTGTGATGGAGGTGGGAGCCGAAAGGGGCAGACCCAAGCTGGGGACTCCCCGACATCAGAAGGGCTGTGCCAGGCTCCTGGCTCAGTCATAGCCTGGTTCACACTCCCTTCCCTGAGTGTGCCCAGAGAACTGCCAGTTTTCCCACTCCCTTCTGGGGTGGGGTCTTGGGAAGTCTCCCTGGCTCTGCCTCTCCCCAGCATATGGACAACAGGGGATGGTAAGCGGTATGTAACCAGGGATGGTTCGGCAGCAACCGGCTTGTTTTCCTTTCCATTATAGACCGCTCCGCTGCTGGCCCATTTGTTGCTATTGGCATCCCAAGGCCCCAAATTACAATGACTAATTCTTACCACTTAGGGAGCTCTAGGGGCCTTTGCTGCAATGTGCTGGGGATGGGATAGCCAAAGTGGATAACCCACAGCAGCTCAGAGACCCAGTGTCTCCAGATCCCCACTCCCCAAGGGGCCAGGAGTCAGGAAATGGGCTTCCTGACAAGCAGGGAACCCATTAAATTCTAGAATAACCAACAACGCACAGGCCAGTCCCTTCATCAACATGAGGCGATGTCTAACAGCCAGCTGGTATAAGGTAGTGAGCCCTCCATCGCTGAGGGTATGAAAGTTGGCCACAAGAGCACTGGTCCTGGATTTGCAGGGCAGCTTCAGATAACTCTCTGAACCCCTGAGACAGGAAACAAGCCCATTCTCCCTCTCCTTTAGCTTACAGCTTGACCGTGTCCTAGGAAACAAGGTCAAATGCATTCCAATATGCAGTTTAACACACCATCTTAAACTGAAGGTCTTAAACACAGGTCTGCTATAAAGGATTTGGCCTCCTTCCCGGCCCCCTTTCCATGATGGAATGAGGATCCTGGCCCCTACTCCAGCCTTCCAGTAGAGGACGTAGGGGAGAGGCGGTCGATAAGTATTTGCCGAATAAGTGCAGGAGAGTATTCCCACAGCAGGTGCAAGCTGCCTGCCTGATTTGGTCTCTGGCTTTGGGTCCCAAGTGGACCCTACCCCACAAAGGGGGAACTTCTTTAGCCAGCGGTAGCAGGGCCCAAACACCATCACTCATCTCACCATACCAACAATGTTCCAGACCCCCCAGCTGACATCAAGAGGTACCCAGGGGGAGAGGAGAAGGGGACAGGGAGAAGCAGGGCCATTTCCCACCCTACGCTCATGCCCCTGTGGAGCTTTTGACAGCTGAGCCCCGGGCCAGCATGACACAAGCCCTCCTGGTAATTAGCAAGAGGCCCTGATCAATAAGTTATTTTTTGCTGTCAGTAATTAATAATTACAGCTTAGCCACACCATGTAATTAAACTTTCATCCCATTCCCCCGTGTGCTGTTTGGCTTTTATCGTGATTAGCTCCCAGCACTAAACTTTCTCCCTTTGGGGCCCTCCAGGGGCTTCCGGATTGGCATTTCCAGGCCTCCATCAGGGTTTCCCCCACTGTCTGGTTCATTCAGCCTTCAGTGTCCTCTTGTTCCCCCGCCCCAGGTGCAATTCTCTTGAAAAAGAACCTCCTAGAATGGCTGGTTCGGCGGCTCCTGCCCCCTTCCCCACTGCTTGTGCGTGCAGGCCAGGATGCCTTCTAGCAATGGTCAAGCTCACAAGCCTGTGAAAAGTCTCCAAAGCACTCAGACTGTCAGGAAGCCAGCTCCCGAGGATTGGTGGAAATCTCTGTATGTGACTAGCTCCTGGGAGCTCAGAGCATGGAGGACCACTCCAGGAAACACTAAGGTAGTCACAGAAGGAAGTTTGTAGCTCCTGTGGATGAAGGACTTGCTGGGGCCTTCTCCCTGGGGCTTCTAGCCACGCCAAGTCTGCAAAGACAGAGATAATGTTCCCAAGGTACAGATGAGGAGACAAGGCTTCCAGTGGCTAAGAGTCTTGCAGAAACATCTCTGTAGCTGCCTTCACCAGATCATGAGAAACCTTTCTTCCTTGTTTGGGAGAGAATATTTTCTGTGCTATCACTGCATTTTGTCTGGAAAATGAGCAGAAATCATGTAAGATCCATTTGGGGACAAATGGCCAAATGATAGTTTTCAGTACATCCAGGTAATGTAGCTTTAGTCCTGCACCTGGAAAAAGAACTAGGAAAAAAATCTCCATAACATCCCAATGTAGTGACCACTGGGCATTTGTCTCAAAGGAGGAGCAGCTGCTGGGTGTATCCTGTGTGTGTCAAGTCTGCAGAATGGAAGTGCTGGCAGTTTTAACTATACTCAAAGGATCAATGGCAGGGCCTCAGAGGCAGAGAAACTCTAACCCCAAAGCAGATTTAAAAAAAAAAATGACCTGTGCCCTAACCTCACCCCTCAGATAGCAAACCCAGCATCACCTTCAAGGTGGAATCCAGAGATTGTCTTCCCATAATCCTCTGCAGGGAGACAAATGGAAGGGGGGGGCCAATGCTGGCAAACAAACATCCTCAGAGCCAGAGAACATAATCAGAGCAGAAGGGGCCCAGGCAGCTCCCCAGTAAGACAGAGAAACAGTCAGGAAAGGGCTTCTCCGATCCTGTCAGGAGGATGGAGCTCATCTGGGAGACACACAGGGATGGGAGGCCAGAACTTCAGTAGACACTGGCATCTTGGCATCAGGGGGATAGGCAGGTATAGAAGTGGGTGGGGCATGAAGATACCAGAAGAAGGTGCCCTGGAGACTCCATAAGGGCTTGGTCCTAGATGGGCGACTAATTTGTGAGTCACCTGCCCCTCCCAAGTCCAGTTACACAGCTGTTGGGAGTCTGCACGGAAGTGGGGCAAAAAGGTTCCACACAAGTTGCTACCCCTTTGAAACCTCCCTACGGCCATCTCAAAACAAACTCGCCAGGCACCCAGAGTGGAGGACAGCTCATTCCTACTCTGTCAGGGCCACTGTCTTGGGTCTCCACAAAATCCCATCCTAGACAAGAGGCCCCAGCTACAGAGGGTCCTAGTAGCAGAGAGGGGGGCTCAGGACTCCTACTCTACGTATCAGTGTGGTCTTGGGCAAGTCAGTTCGCTGCAAAGGGCCTCAGTTTCCCCATCTGTTAAATGGCTACTAGAATGTGATGACCTCCGAGGTCCCTGCCTACTGGAAGGTTTTACGGTGACTATAAAAATAATAACTTTTATTGCCTTTACATTTATGGAGCTCGTTAGAAAATTTCCAAGTGCTTTTACCTAAATTACCCTGTAAAGTCTTTAAAGTCTTCCCTTCGACCCTGTGAGTGACAACCGGTTATTTTTATCTCCGATCTTGGCTTTGAGGATTGCCTGACTTGGGATACCATGGGGTCCCTGCTTTCCGAGGCTCTAGGACCCCAGAGGTGGAGAAGGGCTCTGTAGGGGGATTGCAGCGCCTCCATCCCAGTCCCTCCCAACCTGGTTCTTGGGTAGGTCTGGCTTCCCTCTGAGCCCGGAAAACCCAAAGAAATCCAAGGCCAAACCGGCGAGTCTGGGGATTCAGTCTAGACTCCTCTCTCTGCCCCCAGCAGGCGCTGCTCAGCCACTGCTGCCACCACCACCTGCATCCTCGAACCCCAAACGCAAGAAGAAAGCTCCGGTGCAGCTGCCCTAACCTGCCAGGACCCTCCAGAGGACCCGGGAGACGGCTGAGCATCCGCTGCAGGAGGCAGGGAGAGACAACCCCATCACACCTCCTTTCCAACACACCCACTCCACACCCACTAGCCCTTCACCGCCAGGCTGGCCGCTCTGGGAGGCTACAGATCAAAGCAGCAGTGGACAGACATCCAGTGAGCTGTGGAAGCCGGAGCCTGGGACTGCCCGCTGGGTGTGTCTGGAGGGTGGGTTAGGTCTGCCGCTGTCCCTGCCGCTCGGCTCCAGGCCCATGCCGCCAACCCACTCCAGCTCCAGCGCCCGGCCAGGCAGCCAGGAGCAGGTTCCCGTACATGGCCAAGCAGAGTGACTGCTCCCGAGGGGAAACCAAGAGGGCACCCTGAACCTCATTACGGCTTCTTCCTTGCTTCTCCCTGCCCCATCTTCTCACCCCGGGGGCACCCAGTGCCTGCCTGGCACGGCCTTGCCCTTCACTTAGGACCCCAAGCAGGACCCGGAGCCTAGGGAGTTCAGTGGAGCCAAGACATGGAATGACGCGCCCCTCCTTTCCCGGCCAGAGGGCACCCACGAGGGCCCACCTACTGCACCTTAGGTGCTTAGGTGCTTCTCCACCTCCCCCGGAGATCTCACCATCTCCATCCAGACAGGCCAGAAGTCTCGCGGACACTGCCCCACCCCAAAGAAAGCCCCAAAAGTCGAAGAAGGGGAGAGCTTTGAGACTCCCAGGAGATGGTGCAGCCTGGGCTAAGCGCGGTGTTTTAGGGGGCACTCCATTCCCGCCCATCCGAACCCGTTTCCCAGTCCACGTGGAGAGAGTCGCCCATACAGTACCTTGGGCTCCGGCCGAGTGGATCCGATGCAGGGCCAGTAGAGTCCAGATCGGCAGCCTCCACATGCTGGCCATCCTGGTGGAGGGGTCCTCTACGGTGCACCCTCCTTGTGACTTGTTTTATAATCCTGTGGGGTCCCGGTACCCCGCGCCTTCGTCCCGGGAGACTGTGTGGCCGAGTCCAGGACGCTATGGCCGGAGGGGCCGCGCAGGCGACCCCAAATGCTCCTTCCTCCTTCTGTGTTTGCTGCTCCGCAAGGAGAGGGGAGAGCAGAAAGGGGCCAAGTCTCCTTTCAAACTCAGGGCGTCTATATCCCTTAACACCCCGACTCCGACTACTTCTCGCAGGCAGAGCGACCCCTGCGATCTGGCTTGGTTGCTGGCCGAGCTCCCGAATGAGAGGACAACTTCAGGAAACTTCCTCCCGATGGCCACGTTGCCCGCCTCCCGCCCCTCCCCGCCCCCTGGTTGGGTTCTCCCGGGCCGACGTAGTCACTGTGGTTCTAGACGCCCGGCCCCTGGGACTGGATGCAAGCGGAGCGCAGCGGCAGGCGCGGGTGCCGGGTGTCTTTCAGAGGGGGCGCAGGGGACGAGGGGTGGGGGCGCGGTTAGCATAACGGTCCGAGTCTCCCTGGAGTCGAAGTTTTCTTCTCTTCTAACTTTGCAGGCGGCACCTGGCAGGGCCGAGCCACCCTTTTCAGCTCCGCGGTCCTCGCGCCCAATTCGAAGATTTCGGGGTTACCTCCCCGGGGGCTTCGGTGCCGGGCTCGCCCTCAGCTCCGCGCCCCTCTGGCTAGCAAACTTTGCGGGTCCCGCGGCCCGACGCGCAGCCCCGTGCGCCCATGTCTGCGCCAGCTGCGGGTGGCGATGGATGCCCGGCTCGGGTGCCCGGCTGGGCGGCCAGGGTTCTAGCCAGCGCCCGGGGCGAGGAGCCTCTTGCGGGCGATCCAGTGGAGGAGACCAGCGGGTCCTGCTCTCCGCCGCGCCCCGGCTGGAGCTCCGCGCGAGCCGCACGGGAAGAGCTCGGCCGGCAGCCCCAGGTTCCGGGATTTCGGCGCCGCCTCGGCCGCCCGGCGTTTTCGCCCAGCGCGGGGACCCGAGTCTCCGCGGCCGCTCGGGCGCCTCGGTCGCGCCTGCCGCTCGCCCACCTCGGGAGCCGCTGGCTCGCGGAGCCCGGAGCCCTGGGCTGCCGGGGCTCAGCGTCCTAAGAGCCGCTCTGCTGCCGAGCCTGAGAGTCTGCCTGCGCCGAGCCGGAGCTGCGGGGGCAGCGGGAGCCGGGGACGAGCGCGGCGGAGGCGGAGACGCGGAGAGGGGGGCCGAGCGCTACCCCGTGGCCGCGACTGGAGCGCAGCCTGCGCGCAGGGAGGGGGCGGCGGCGGCGGCTCCGAGCCAGGCCCGGGAGCGAGCCCCGCAGAAACCCAATCCGTGTGCGCGGCCGCGGGCTCCCGGCGTCTCCCGGACCCACCGGAGGGCAGTAGTGCGGGCGGCGAACGTGCCGCTCTCTCTCCGGCCTTGTCTTCCAGGTTCAGCCCTCCCTCTCTCCCTCGAAGGCCTGCCTCATCCAGGTCTTCCATAGGCCGGAGTCCCCAACACCCCTCTGGACTTGACAGGGCAGGACAGTTTGGGAAGGGTATGTGTGTGTTAGCCGGTTGACTCCAGTTTTTCCTTCCCAGGTCAGACTCTTAAACGAAAGTCTGGAACCGCTCAGGGAGGAGAGCAAGATAAAGGAGAAGCCTGGGACTCGCAGAAGGCTGAGAAAGTGAAGTTGGTGCCAAACTCGTGCACTCTTTGTTTCTTTCTTCTTCTCAGCTCCCCCTTTAAAGGCACATTAGCAGCGGAGACACAATGGAGAGAGAGACAGAGAGGTCCTCCCTTGTGGCCCAGGGAAGGGAGCAGAATGTACCTTCCAGTGTGGCAAGCCCAGGAGCTGTTAAGACCCTTTTAACCGGTGCACTCAACAGTCAACAGGCGCCTCTACCTCCGTGGGCTCATTCCTCCATTAAAAATATTAAAAGTAATATTTTGCGGCTGTGTTGGCATAAAAACAAATATATTACTACATATTAAAACATTTTCTTTCATTTAAAAGTTCATTTAATTTTTCCCCTGATTTTAAAAGAAATTAAAACATTTCCGTGGGTTTCCTAAAAGACTGTAGTCCCTGGCACTGAGCCTGCTGGAAGAAATCAGCCGTTCAATCTTGGTATTTCGGCTGGAAAAGGAAGGAGGGAGACCCTTCACCTTTGCCAGCCTTCCCCCTTCACTCCTCCGTGGGCCCACTCTTCTGAGCCACACCCCGTTGTCTTCCTTTTCTGATCTTTGCCCTTCAGGTATCTTACTGACTTTGAGGGCTCTGCCCCATCCTCTTCAGCCCCAGGGTGCCTCTTGTCATCGCTGTGGAATGGACACAGCCACTGCACAGATCTCATTGCTCTCCCGGTCTCTCCTCACCTGCCTTGGAAGAACAGCTGTGAGCATTTAGTGAAAACGGATGAAAAACTAGCCTGCCTTTCTTCTGCTTTTCATTCGTCCACTTCAAACAGTGTTTTTGCCTCTTTCTCCCTGCTTGTCTGTGCTCAGTCCAGGCCCAAGGCTTGCTGTCTGGCTGATGTTTGACTGAGGAGCGGCTTTGGGGACAGGCAGGCTAGATATAGCAGATCTATTCCCCGGCTGGGTGGCCAGGCCCCTCCCATCCCCCCAGACTCTGAACTGCACAGTTGAGAGCTCAGGCCCTGCCCAGCCCATCAGGAACAGCTGTTCTTTAGGGTGTTGTTACTCAGCTTGCTCGCAGAGGGGGCCTGAGAGTCAGTTTTGCAGCAAAAGCTTCTTAACCAGCAAGCGAGCAGCTGAGAGGCTGTCTGTGCCCTTGGGCTGGAGTTCATGTGGGTACCAGCTCTGAAATCTTGGTGGATTCCTCCATTTGGGTCCAGAGCCCCGACTCATAACTGCAAGGCTCTGAGCTGACTGTTGCTCCAGCCCCTAATAGCATTTGTGCTCGTCCTAAGAGCAGACCTTTTGCCTAACCAGGTGGATATCTACAAATCTAGTAAGCCTTATCCCCAGGAGAGGCCAAAAAGAAAAGGGAGGGTGTTCTCTGGTCTTTGTTGGCAGTCTTCCATGCCTGCATGGTTAAGAGGAGGCCCTCTCCTGAAGCTCTCAGCCAATCTGCCTCCATCGATCCGGAATAGAGAGAAGACTCAGGCTTTGGGGGCCTCAGCTTATGCGAACTCGGTTTTGCTTCTTATCAGTTTTGCTGTGGGAAGCCTGTCCCTTTGAGAGGAACTTGTTTCTGGGAAAGTCACTTCCAGACACCACGCCCTCGTTCTTGGTGGCCCTGGAATAGTTAGAAGGTTTCAAAGGGGGCTAGGAAGACAGCTCAGTGGGTAAAACGTTTGCCTTTCAAACGTGAGGACGTGAGTTCTATACCCTCCCCCGGAACCTGCCTGGGGGCCAGGCAGGTGGTGCTCACGTGTAAGCCCAGCACTAGGGAGATGAAGACAGGTGGATCTCTGGGGAGCTTATCTTAAAAAAACCAGGTGGACAGCACCTGAGGGTTGACAGCTGAGGCTGCCCTCTGGCCTCCACACAATTGTATACCTGTGTGCCTTCTCACGTGTGTGTTTTCTCTTAGGAAAACATCCATGGAACACAAGACTACCTCTCCACCATACATGGTTAGTGAGAGGGTGTTATTTGCTGGGGAGACTTTCTAGCAGAGGAAGGGTCACATCACTGTGTCCAGGAGGAAGATGATAGCTACCACAGGTCACCTTTTCCTTTATGGCCAGCCTTGGACACCAAACCCAGCCTCTGCCTCCTTTCACGGGCACAGAGCTCAGGATGGGTCAGGCAGAGTCAGCTTTTTGTTGTCGTTACTGTGTAATTCTTTTTTTTTTTTTTTTTTTTTCTGTTTCAATCTCTAGTGTAACCGGAGCTAGAACAGAGTGTTCAATTACAGGATCAGCCTGTGTGTTCCAGCAGCAGTGAGTGGTGTCAGGGACCAGTGGGGACACCCTGGAGGCACAGACAGAAGCTTCCACTGCCACCTTTGATGGCTGCTGCTCAAGCTGCGGGGTTCCACCCACAGCTGTGATGCCCACTCCCATGGCTGCTTAGTTGGAGCCAAAGACCCAGACAGCACCCAATTCAGAAGAGAAACGAAGGAGAACAAAACAGAGTCAGGGCTGAAGTGGTCCCCAAGCTATGGCTTTTCAAAGCACAAGTACAGACACTGTGTATCCTTCCCAACACAAGTTTCAGCATCCCCTTCCAGGCAGAGAGTTCTCTCTCCATCAGAACTCAGAGTGCTGTAGATAGGGCTGGGCAGACTGCCCCCCTCACCAGAGCAGGGACCTTCAGAAGAGCATCATTTTCTCCACCTACAGGAACCGAGAAAACGTCTTGCCGTGAAATATAGATATATTAGTAAATTTTCTCATCACCTTGACAAAATACCTGCCAGATGCAACTTAAGAAAGGAGAGGCTTATTTTAGCTTATAGTATTAGGGAGAACAATCCATCATGGCTGAGATGGTGGCTGAGAGGACTCTCTCCGTAGCAATGGGAGCTCGTGTTATGTCCTGTTCACAGCTTGGTAGACTGGCAAGCAGGGGGTGGGGCTCTCCTGGGATATCACCTTCAAGCCCACCCCTGCCCTCATCCCCCACCCCTACCCCCAGCAAGACACTACAGTTGCAAAGATTTGACCTCTCAAAACAGCGCCACCAGCTGGGGACCAAGTGCATGTGCAGTGCAGAGGTGTAGGCATTTCCCATCCAAGCCCTAAAACAAGTCTTTGAGTGAATTGTGAGGAGTAGTCTCTTCCATGTTGGTCTGCCGAAAGATAAAGGAAGGGTGCAATAGATGTGGTTTATTATCTCCCGTAGAAAGAGGAAGGTTCTAGAAGGAAGGTCTTGGTCAGCTTGGCAACCATGATGAACTAAACAGACAGCTCTAGCAGCAGATACTTGTTTCTCACAGTTCTGGGGCCCAGGAAGTTCAAGATCAAGGTCCTAGCTGATTTGGTTTCTAGTGAGACTCTTCTTGGCATGGACAACCTGTGGTCTCTTCTTTTCTGGGACAGGGTTTTGCTGTGTAGCCCAAGTTGACTTCAAAACTTGCCAATCTCCGGCCTCAGTGTTCATGTGCTGGGATTATAGGCTTGAGCCATCATACCCTGCTCTTCCTCATCTTAGCTCAGTTGGTAGAATGTTTGTCTAGCAAGCATGAAATCCTGGGTTCAGTTCCCAGCACCGTATAAACTGGACATGGTGGTACACCTGTATTCTAGCACTCAGGAAAAGCTGGGGGTTTGAGAATGGCAAGTTCAAGGTCATTCTCGGATACATAACAAGTTTGAGGCTAGTCTGGTATACAGGAGACCCTACTTCCACAGAAAGGAAGGGAGGGAGGGAGGGAGGGGGAGAGGGT